TGAATACCTAGCCTATTGTACTTCAATATAAAGACAGCTATTTCCTGGAATACTACCTTGTTTTTATAAATTCCACTGTTGTCCTCATGTAAAATGACTCTATGGATATGGTGTAGATAAAGAAAAACATGAGTAACCAACAAATTAAGGAATAAGAGTGTAAGTTAGATAAAGAAATACATGTTAACAAATGCTGACACACAGAAGAGCAAAGAAAAATATATGAGGACACACCGCAGGGCCAAGGCCTGAGGACAGGCAAAACTGAAAGGACATGTAACGATTGAAAGAAAAGCACAGGAAAGACAGAGTAGAGGAGATCTTTGAATAATATCATAGGTAGGAAAATGTATGTTCTATGAGCTGAGGAATAATCCCAATGTTATAATGAGCTATGAAATAGGAAGACAACATTTCTTTTACCCAAAAGCTTTATGACAGGTAAGGATTGGCTAAAATATGCAAAACAAATAGTTCTAACCTTCATAATAGGCACAAAAAGTGATACTTATTTAGGAACACAAAAGGGTAGTTAATAACTTTAGATTATACCATTTAAAATTTTTAACTGTGGAAAACATCTTAAATTCCACTTTGCTACCCACTTGCTTTATTTTTAAAAATTATGGAAGTGCCATATAAGTCATCTATAGAAGATGAATGGTATCACTTATCTAAATAATAATAAAAGAAACAGTTGATAGCACATTCATTCTAATGCCACTGACACTGAGTCAACTATTATAACATTCAAACCAAGGAGAAAACGATCAGCAGGGTTGGCATTGTCTCTTACCCTGAAGTTGGATTGGAGCCCCTTTTCTATGAAGAGCACATGTGTAGGTTAGGAAAACAGGATGTGAAATGATATAAAGAGGTGTGTGGCAACATTCAGAAAGAAGGCAAGAAAAAGCTTAATTCTCCTCTGAAAAGCAGTTCTGAAATGTGGATTCATTAATAAAAACCTGTCACCTACCAATCAGCAGAAGCATTTAGAAACTGATGGAAACAGTACAATACCTACCCTTTCAATCAGTATTCAACTACCCCACAACTGTTGGAGTTTAGCTGCCAGGAATTTTTGTCAAGATTGTATTTTCTTTTCCTTTGTTTGTTCTCTATTTACAATTGTGATAGAACTATGTGAAGCTTAGTTTTTACTGAAGTGAGAAACACCTTAGCTAGATAACTAGGCTCAATGTGGATAGGTGCCCTGTAGGAAGTCCATACAACTCCACCAATACTCCTTAATCTCTCCATATCTCAATCCTTTTGATAGTCTTCAGCTGAGACTACACCCATGTAGTCCTTTCACTTATATCTCAAATACATTTTCAAGTCTCAGCATTTCCTGAGAACAGGTAGTTAATAGTCAAACTTCCTCTTCTGAGAAATCCTGAAAAAAGGAGTGGAGTGCGAGTAGGAAATAAGATAATTTTGCTGCCAATCCAATCAGAACTATTACATCTTGCTAATAAAATATTTCAATAGCTGGTAGGAGTGGTCCAGAAGATTATGTTTGTTATATAAGTGTACATAAGCCTCACTGCAGATAATGTTAAATGCTGCTGATGCTGATGATGATGACAATGATGTTGAGGATGATGATAGTTACCTCTTTTAGTACCTGTGCCAAGCATTGTTCTAGGTGTTATGTTATGTATGTATTATCTCATTTAATCCTCACACTCTAAAAAAAAGTCCTTCTTAGGTAAAATTATTTTCATCTTCACTTTATACAGGATTCTGAGACACAGAAAGAAGCTAGTTAAAGCAATTTTAATATATTTAGCTTATTTAAGTTAAAACAAAATGTACAGCTGTTTGGCCAACTGTTTGATGCAGGACCAAGGGCTGTCACTGACTCTTGATTTGCTGTCTCATTGTTCTTCTTGCAATGTATCAGCTATTTAAAATCAGTGAGTGTTTAAAGGTTTTGAGGTTTTTTAAGTTAGGAAGTGCTTAAAGGGACTTAAAAGTGAATGCAGGATCCTTCCAGAGTTTTTACTTTAATCCTTTTCCCCACCCCAGGCAATATTTCCTGGATGTCTAGGTCACAGCTATTTAGACTATAATTTATTTAGCAATTTACCTTTATTTTTTAAATATATTTTTATTGATTTCAGAGAGGAAGGAAGAGGGAGAGAGAGAGATAGAAACATCAGTGATGAGAATCATTGATTGGCTGCCTCCTGGATGCCCCCTGGGCATCAAGCCCGCAGCCCAGGCATGTGCCCTGACCAGGAATCAAACTGTGACCTGCTGATTCATAGGTCCATGCTCAACCACTGAGCAATACTGGCCCGGCTAGTGATTCACCTTTAAAAAGTCTTTATACATCATTCAACTTAAATGTCATTAAATCAACAACCTTTTATACTTTTTACTCATATTTCATCCGTTTGCATAATTAAATTACAATTGCACATTTGATTGGACTAAAAAAATTGAAAACACACACAAATAACTGTAGGTAACCATACCAGCAGATAAGCAGATAAACAGAAATGCACCATTTTCAGAAGGTATTCTATTGCTCTGAAGCAGGGATTGGCTAAGAGGACTGCTTATTCATAGCTTCCCTAATTCTCAAAGAATACTATTTAATAGGTATATTATGTTTCTGGCAGAATTAATTTACAATTGAAAAATATAATCAGATTTGATAGAGGGGTTTATAATAATACCAAAATTCTACACTAAAAAGGTAACATTTTTCTTATCTTTCTCAATTAGAAATCCTCAGAGATTCCTTCACTGGTAAAAACTAAAGTCACAAATTTTTATCCCAAACTGAATTAAGATAAGGAAGCCCCTTCCCAAAGCATGAACATCCCCAACCAGACCACACAAAAACTTATAATTAATAAATGAAGAAACTTAGGCTTTAATAAAGAAACTTCCTAATAAAGGAAACCATCACCTTATGGAGAAAACTAAATTGAAAGGTCAGGTTCAGCCACGCACTACTTGTTTGCTGTGGGGTAAGTTACTTCTCCCAGAGCTACAGTACCCTATCTAAAAAAGAAGACAATAATACCTTTCCCATCTCACAGAACTATAATCAGAATTATATAAAATAAAACATATGAAAACTATCAACCATCATACACATATAAGTTATTATTATTGGAAAATCCTACTTTGTATTTTGGACACAGAACTTAAGAGTCAGAGGAGGCCATTCACAAGGGATGAGGCTGATAGCCAAAAGTGTAAATTCTTTTTCTACTTACAGTAGCATGGATGATAGAGCAGAAATAGAGAATTCTTGATTAAACAGGAAAAGAATATCACAGTCCAGGGAGTGGGATCAGTTGGAGATTCAAGGAAACCGAAGTCCCAGAATGAACTAATGCTGCAGTGTAAACTGTCATCAGAGATAAAATGTTAAAGGCTGAGCAGTTTTATACAATAAGTCCTAGCAGTGTGGTAAAGATATTAGAGAAGAGATTTAAAACATCAACCAAAAAAAAAAATTCAACTATATCAAATACAGATAACTATTTACCTTACACAATAAAATTTTTATGCCTTTTCAAACTACAAAAAAGTGATGAACTTGAGATAATTCTCTTATTTATGTTATTCCTTTCTACTGGTCAGAATAATTACCCATAGGTTAGGAAGTTAAGAAAACAATAGGATGGACGTCAGTGAAGTTCAAGCACTTTAATTGGATTCCTTTGGGTATAGTTTGTTTCCCTTTTTTTCTGGCCATTAATTCAGCAGGGGAAAATTATCTAACACAGCACCACGGCATGAAGGGACAGACCCTGAGAGCCTGTCTCTCTATGATGACTGTTCTTGTGCATCCAGGCCGCCTATTGAAACTAACAATGCCTGCTGCTGCTGCCGAAGAGGATCATCCAAACTCTGAAAATGAAACACATCATACAAAGGGATGAAAGAATTCTTATTCCACAGGGTTTAGCTTGCAGCTGGTCATGCATGCCAGAGGGTTGTGCCATGAGGATGAGAAAGAAGCTTCCAAAGAGAATGGCTGTGGCAGCCAACTGGACATTTTGAAATACTTAGGAAACTGTTCTTTTGAAACTAAGGCGAATAACTAGACTTCTTTATAGCAGAACTTGGAGAGTCGGGGTTTTTTCATCTCTGCAATTCACCAGGTGTAAATATTCTTGTGATTAAAAGAAACTTAAAAAATTTCTAATTGGTTATAGTCATTTGGGGTTCCCCGTTTATAGTAGGAGACCATATTATATAATTGATTTGTTTCCCTCTGGATTAGAGCTCAGTGCTACTTCAGAGCTTAAAAATGTATACAGGAATAGATGTTGTTTTCTGCAAAAGATTCAAGTGCACTGAATAATACGTTTGTTATACAAAACAGCACAGTAGTTAAGACCACAGATGTTGAGGGCAGATCAGCAGTGAAACTGAAGGGACACTCATCATATGGCATCAGGTCCAATGGGCTCTAATAGCGTGGAATAGTTGTATTGAGTGAGTTTGCCCACAAAAGGTGTTCCAAATAGAGTTAAAAGTTATCAGAACCTTCCCTGCAGCCACCATTGCTCCTGCCCCTCAACTGGTCCCAGCAAGATGTAATGCAGTTTTTCAGGTTCCCTGAACATCAGTGTCTAAAGGACAGTTAAAAGCAGCTCCTAAGACTTTGGAAAGATATGTCACAGGGAAACACCAGCCTTCTATCCTATAATGAATTTACTTGCACCTGCCAAAACTATAAACATTTGCTCTCCCTCCCTAGTCCTTCCCACCTCCTGTTCCAAAAAACTCATCTTTCTCTGTTTATTAAATTAAAAAACTCCTTTTGTTGCACATAATGGTACACACATTAGACTCAGAAATCCATTTTTACCTCTTACACCACTGATTCCAAATAACTCTGCCATAAGTAGAAGTGTAGCCTTTTGGAAGTTACTTAATCTAATTCTGCCTTAGGTTCCTTATTGATAAAATGTAAATAAATATCTGTCTTATGAGAATGTTGTGAAGAGTAAGAAGATAATATTTACCTCGTAGTTCAGTTACCAGTGCAAAGGGTGATTCAATAAATAGTAGTCACTGTATCTACAAGAGGAGTAACAAATAGTTCACATAAGAAACTGAACTGAGAAAGGGGGTATAATATAAAAAGTATTCTCCTACCTTGTCAGCACGCTATTGTTGATTCAAACATTGTGTCATTTTTCTCAGGTTAGATCACACTTTACAAGAAGCATTACTTCCTTGAGGATTATGCCGAAGGGAACAGAACTCATTGGAGAAATATTTCCGTTGCACATATTCAATCCATTAGTTCTAATTAATGTCTTTCAGACCACTGTAAACAAGTTCTTGGTACAAGTGTTTTAACTTTTCAAAGAGCCACTATTATATTCTATGCAGAAATGTTTGGCATTGAAGGGTATCCATAATTGTTCTAATGTTTCTTGTTCCCCCACTCTACCACCACTTCTACTCTTTCAGTAGCTCTTATAACTTCTTTCAAAAAGAGAAGACAATTTGGATGGAAATTGATACTACAAAACCAAAGTTAAAATATATTTGCGAAAAATTAATCTCACTCTGTCATTCTACAGGTACCATCTCATTCAACTGCACAAAATAAACTTTTGACCCTGAGTCCATTACCAACATATTCTAAAAACAGATGCAATCTTTCAGAAAAACCTAACAACAGGGAAAGAAAAAAAAAATATATATATAGTATTCAAATAAAGAGATTATAATAAAAAATGTATATAGAGACAGTGATATTTGTAGCACAATAGAAAATTATCCATATGCAGTAAAATAAAATACATAATTCATTTCATATAAAATAATTTAAATTCAAGTTTTAGTCTAATAAAAACACTAAAATGGACTTTAGATAAATTTCTACCATTAATTATTTCTTTATAACATGAAATTTTATTTTCAAATTATTATACTAAAATCCTTCAAAGACAAAAACTTCTTTTTCATTCTAAAGGAACTGATCAACTATTTGTGAAAATTGGACAGCATTTTTCTCATAATCCCTTTTAGTAGCACCCATCCAATTAGTCACCAGATCCTGTCAATGTTCTTTCTGTTCCCATTTGTACTGCACCAAATATGTAGTTTAATTATTTTGAACTACTGTCTTCTGCCATCCATCTTTATGCTTCTAGTTACCCGCTTCAAAAAGGGGGGTGGGAGGGCTCATGGAGTTTCCCTTAAAAACCCTGAGTGTTTTACTGATTGAAATCCAAGCTCTAGCTTATCATTCAATTCAGAAGATACCAACTGCCTGCTATGTTCCAGACTCTAAACAGAGTAGTGGGCTGGTAGTGGAAATAAAGATGAACCAGACATAGTCCTCCTTCCCAAAGACGCCAGTGTAGTGAGGAGGCAGATAAAAACTAACACTTGCAAAGTGTAACTGAATACATGGTGCTAACAGAATTAGATGGTAAATCCTAAACTCAATGAGAAAAGTAAAAGTAATATGATGGTAAAATTTTATGGACTCATTTTGCTTCCAAAAATGATAGAGTGACAGAAACAGGATTTAGCCTCCTGCCTTAAACAACTAAGAAGTAGACAAATAATGGTTTACAGACATTGGACAAGAGGCAGCACATGACAAGGTCAGCCCTACAACTGTTTTAACGTACTCTGAGAGGGAGAACCAAACAGAGCCTGCCTTGCCCAGGACCACACTGCTAACAAGGAGTAGAGTTGGGCTTCAGGAAGGAGTCTGACTACAAAGTCCCCAGAAGTTTCAATTTTTACTTTCCTACCATCTTTAAATATTTGCATAGACTATACATACCTCAGCCTAGCAAACAACTCACTCCTACTCTAATATTCTTCCTTGCCCTATAGAAATTATGTTTCAAGGTTTCAGTTTAAACATAACTTCATCCAACAAAGCTCCGCCAATTCTATTGCACGTAGGCACAGTAAAAATTAGTATTATCATCCTCTATAATACTGTATTTATTTATTTTTATTGTTTTATGGAATTACTTTTATTCTGCTTTATCTAATAATAATGCTAATATTAATTAAAATTTATTGAGTGCTCACTACATTGTTACTATAAATTCTGTACACATACCAAATCATTTAATCCTCTGGACAATCCTATGCAGTAGGCATTATTTTGTAGGTAAGAAAACTGAAACACAGAGACAAAATAACTTGCCTAAAGTTACACAACTAGTAAGCTTCAGAGCAGGGATTCAAACCAAATAATCTGGCTCCAAAATCAGTACACATTACCCAGTTTTTTGCTGTCTACTGGACTTCCTGAATAGAGACAGTTCATTTAACTGATCTTGCTATTTGTATATCTCATACAACCCAGAGCAATATTTTATATCTAATAGATACTCTATGTTGTTTTCCATATGAATGAGTGAACAAAGGAACACTCTGAAGCTGTGGAGGAGTACTTACACTAAGTGAAAAACCAGAATGTGGGTAAACTAAACTATGGACAAAAATGTATCTATAATTTTGAGAAATTATTTTTCATCCTTGCAGCTCCTCAGAAATTTCATCCACAGCAATCAAAGCTCTTACATGCTCCAATGATGGAGTCTTACTTCACCCTTAACTAGTTTCAATATTGGCAAATCACAGATATATACTTGTATGTTTATTTTTAACTACCATTATGAGGCATATTTCATACAGTTATTATAAACATAAAATAATGTTACTAGTAACAATACATATAAGTGAAAAATATGTGTGTGGGTGTGAGTGAAGAACTAACAAAGGTAACAATAAAATAATAGCAATAAAAACAACTACAATTTCCCAGCACTTACCATGAGGCCAAGCACCTGTATTATCATTGTTAATGGCATTACATAATGCCAGTGCATTATTTTGCTTAACCCTCACAACAACAATGAGGAATAAGATGAGCCCTGAAATTCTAGCATTCCCATTTTTAACAATAGATTTTTTTCAGATGAATTAAAAGAGCAATTTGCAATGTTAGTATCCATTTTATTAAATTAAAGGTCATAGGACTACCACTTTGGACTACATTTTTAATCAATTATTGTTTTTCAAAAACTTTATCAAAAAGTTACATAATGGGCTGGCAAGCGCTATTATTCTGCTTACATCAATACCATCATGAGTTCATATATGTTCAATATTTACTGCACAAGAGCTCATTTGCAAATCAGTGGATTGTTTACTAATAAAATGTAGTAAAGTTGCAAGATTCTTGAGGTTGAACATCATGGTTACAGGACTTTAAATTAGATGCTCACATTCACTTACATAGTTAACAAGTGCTAGAATCAATACATTCTGTAAATTGAATAATCACTGTAATTCAGTGGTCAGCAAACTGTGGCTCGCGAGCCACATGCGGCTCTTTGGCCCCTTGAGTGTGGCTCTTCCACAAAATACCGACTTCTGCGCATGGGCCACAAAGTTTCAATCGCACTGTACATGCGCGCCTGCACATGGTATTTTGTGGAAGAGCAGCATGTGGCTCATGAGCCGCAGTTTGCCGACCAGTGGTTTAGGTCAGTGGTCGGCAAACTCATTAGTCAACAGAGCCAAATATCAACAGTAAAACGATTGAAATTTCTTTTGAGAGCCAAATTTTTTAAACTTAAACTATATAGGTAGGTACATTGTTATTAACTTAATTAGGGTACTCCTAAGGCTTAAGAAGAGCCACACTCAAGGCACCAAAAAGCCGCATGTGGCTCGAGAGCCGCAGTTTGCCGACCACGGGTTAGGTGATCAAGAAGTTCCCTCTACTTGTTCCCCAGAATTAAAGAGTTATACAATAATTATAAGTAACGGAAATATATGTGCACAGCTACAAAATATCCTAATCTCAGAATTAATCTTCAGTCCAAGTGTCTTAAATCAAAGTTTTATCAGAAAGTTAAAGTTTTTTATTTCTTTAATTCACTCCATTCTTACAGTAAAAATCTTGATTTAATAAACCTCAAAATTCCAATAACATGTTAGTAGTACTTTAATAATAATGATGATAACATTATATTACATCACTTCATATCACATTATTTAATAAATATCAGTAGTCAAGTGCTTACTATGTGCTATGCAAAATATTAGGTGCTTTACTATATGATCTCATTTACTCTCCATCACTCTGGGAGTTTGGTTTTCTTATTTGCATTTTACATATGAGAAATAGTTCAGAATAACTTGTCCATGGTCTCACAGATACCAAGCACTGCTAGACTGGGTGCTCAAACTCACCTCATGTAACACCAACAATAAGAGAATTTAGCAAAGTGGGATTTTGCAAAATTAAACTACAAAAATCAACAGCTTTCCTATACAGAAACAAAAGGCCACTTAGAAAATATATGGAAGAGAAGAGTCTGTTTAGAATATTAAATATGTAAAAAGGTAAGCAAGCAGGTAAATACATAAATGAATAGAACACCAAGGAACAAATAGTAACAAATGTTTAAAACCTCAATAAGGAAAACTATACAACATTTCTAAAGAACACAAAACTTACTGAGCAAATGGGGGTGGGGAGAAGCAGGTTCTTAGGTAAGAAGATTCTACCTCATAAAGATATTAATTGTCCCTATGTTAATTCATATTTTATCATAATTCCAATAAAAATACCATCAGGTTTTTTTTACTTCAAGGTCTACAATGGCAGAGGTGGGATAGGTTAACACTTCAGATACTAAAACATATTCTAAAGCCTCTATAATTAAAATAATGTGATAACTGCATATGAATAGACAGACTAACTGCACAAAACAGAAAATATAAAAACATGTATGACTGTTTAGAAAAATGTATAATAGGAAACCATGTAAGTAATGGAGGAAAACATAAATGAATTCCTTTTACGAACTGCAAGTGGGAAATTTTTTTCCCAATTATGCCTCAATTACATAAGACCCAATGAAGTCAACCAAACAATATTAAAAGCCAATGCCTCTTTTGGTCAGATAATCGTCATCCTCATGGATTCTATGGAAAGCAAAATCCAACATACTTCTGGAAATCACAGAAACTATGCACTTAATTCAGTAGAACAAACTCTAACACCCTCACC